CCCTGTCAAAAGCACATTTGAGTGTTTTACTTAGTTACCATTCTGCATGATAACCATATGAAAGTGCCAAGAAAACATAAAAGTTATGTATATTTTCTAATTTTAGTAATATATTTAGTGTTTTTGCTAAATGTATAGTGTCTTAGTGTCAGCCTTTAAGCATCATTGTTCTGTACAGTAACAGTGGTTTCATGGTTATGTGATGAAGTCTGCTTTTTATCTGTCTTGATACAAATTATTTTGGAGGAGGATTTTTCTCCTTATTTTTGTTTGTAATTTTTTTGACTTCCAGAATCAGCTGCAGTAAAACACTCAGCGCGTTTCAGATTGTCTTTTTTTTGCCTTTTCTTGTGAGAAATAGTTTGAAGTGCAATTACGGATCAGGAAGCTAAAAGTTTTCTAAGCATCAGTGTGTACATCATCTTCGTCTCATATAATGGATTCCAAAGTAATTCTTTGATTGCCTTAGAAAAATACTGCAGTTTAATTATTTAAATCTCAGTTAATGGAGATACTAGCAGCATGAGATCTTTGATGTGTCTACCAAGTTGAAATCTCGGTATCTACCTTCCCTTCCATGCTCTCCCGCACGTTGTCAAGGTAGTTATTTCTGCAACCTGAGTAAGAGGTCGTGGGCCAACTTGTTACCCAATTTTACTTGGTAGTCTGCAACAGATTCCTACTAGTGCCTCCTTTCTGGGCATAAGTACTATTATTCCAATTTACAGATGGGGAAACTCAGCCAGTGAGACTAAATGGCTTGATCAAGGTCATGCAGGAAGCCTCTGATGAAGGAGGGAATTGAACCTGAGTCTCTGGCTACTCTGATGGACCATCCTTCCTTTCATAACTAGGTAAAATTTAAGACCATTTTAAGGGATATTTTTGAACTTGGATTTTTTGCCATCATCTGCTTTTTATGATATATAAAACCCTAGGATGTAACAATTTTGTGATTTTAATAGGTGGCATCTACATTAGATCTTGTGCAGATTCCGGTACAATAAGCTGTAGTATTTTTTTCTGTTGTAAGTCATGTTTAGAGCCGGTGTGTCATGTGATGAAAAACACCAATATATCTGTCTTATCTACACTATGGGTTTCCTACTGTTGCTGCTTTCATAGTGGAGCTGATGTTGGAAAACTTTTAATGAGACCATAGCTGTCTATAATTTGTTAAGGCCTGAATGTTAGGGTTGTAGCTAGACAAGAATGTGTCTTCTGGAAAAATGCTTCAGGCTGCATATCAAATAAAGCAGAGCAATAGTTCTGCTTGCTTTCTCGTGTTGCTTTTTGTTGGAACGGGGTGGGGAAGAGGTGGGAGCGGGAAGGGGGCGAATCACAGGTATGTATGCACCCTCTGTTTTTCACGTTGGCAAAAAACCCCATGGCTTTGTAAATCGACACTCCCCCCTCCCACCTGAAACTGCCAAAACATAAAAATCTTTATAGTTTGCAAGGAAGGTATCTGCTTAAGGAAGGTGTTTTTCTCCATAGAAAAGCCTGGGAAATCCTACAGGTGCGTTTTTGTCAAAGCAGCATAATTTTTTCTGGTGCGTGATACAGACCTGTCTGCACTAATTGTGTATCTCATTGCTGCCATCAGTACCACTATTTAAAAGCATCGGTATTAACAAAGCACCGTTACTGTTCTTACCAGTGGCTTGTCTAAACTGACTGTGAGGAGAGCTGGGATCAGCAGAATCTATGGCCAGTGGATAAAACCCTATGACTTATAGAGTCATTGGTGCGTGCGATAAGTCATATATTGTGATGTAGGGCTTCAGCATACGGACATTTCCCCCTTGACTCAGAACTACGCAATTTTGAAATTAAGATGAGAACAAATACCAGGAAATTCTCTGTTATAATGCAAACACTTTGCTTAAGGCTTCTGGGTTTTTCAGCAGAGGCAGAATATTTCTGTTTAGCACTTTAAATACCAAAAGGAAACACATTTATTGACTCTCCAGTCTGTCTCATCTGTCTGTACTTTCCTCGCTATAGGCATCTCTTTCAGGATCCACTTACTGTTTTTCTCATAAAATTGTGAGCACGTTGGGCATGAGTTCATGAATATGCTGTTGTTTGTGCACATACCACTTTGTATTACTAGGAAAACGTTTGGTGTGCTGTGCAAGTCAGCTTCTGCTTCTTGTGCACTCCATACTCCAAGTGATTTCTCTTGCAGATTCTGGAAGCAGAAACTGAGAACATAGCTGTTTACATTGGGACTTTCATCCTTTTTGTTGCTGTGTGATCCATTGGAAACTCCTGACAATACTGACATGTGTGGTGTTGCATATTCCTGGAACAGCTGCCTTGGGTATCGCTGTGCAGGAAAACACTGTTGGGTGTTGACAGAATGAGTAACAGCTTTTTTAATGGTTTTAAGTCAGTTTAGCAGGACTCCATTGCTTATGTTACTTATAAAAAGATGGAAGAAAACTGAATATTTAATGTAAAGCATGTAAAACAAGCTTGCACATTTCTCTGTTTTGTAGGAGAGAGAGATGATCTTGGTATGTCCCCATGTGTTGCTTTGTGTAGTTGAGAGCTGACGTCCCTGCCCATGACAGGGAGGTTGGATTAAACGATCCCTAAGGTCCCTTCCAGCCTAGGCCATTCTATGATTCTATGATACGATAATGTTTTACATTTTTTCTCTCGTTTTGACCCAGTTCATGGCTTTAAAAAGGATTTTGTGGGTCTGGAGTTTTAGAAAGGAAAACAGGTCTATTTTCTGAGTTAAGTGATGGAATACAGTAGTTCATCTAGTCCAACTGACTGACTCCTTCAGGGCTGACCAAAAGTTCAAGCATGTTGTTAAGGGCACTGCCCAATTGCCTCTTAAACACTTACAGGCTTGGGGCATCGACCATCTCTCCAGGAAGCCTGTTGCGGGGTTTGACCACCCTCTTGATAAAGAGCTGTTTCCTCGTGTCCGGTCTGAGCCTCTCGATGCAACTTTGAACCGTTCCCACACACCCTGTCCCTGGATCCCAGGGAGAAGAGATCAGCACCTCTCTCTCCATGTCGCCTCCTCAGGAGGCTGTGGAGAGCAATGAGGTTGCTCCTCAGCCTCCTTTTCTCCAAACAAGACAAAGCCAGTGTCCTCAGTGGCACCACAGAGGACTTGCCTTTCAGCCCTGTCACCAGCTTGGTTCCAGTGCTCTGGACAGATTCCAGGACCTTCAAGTCCTTCTCAAATGGTGGGGCCCAAGCTAAGGCCGCACCAATACTGAGCACAGCAGGACAATCCCCTCTCTTGACCTTGAATGGTTGTTCACACTGGCTTTCATGCACCCCAGGATGGGGTTTCCCCGCTTGGTGCCTGGGCACACGGCTGGCTCCTGTTGAGCTGCTGCCCACCAGCACCCCCAGATCTTGTTCTGCAGGGTTGCTCTCCAGCCACTTCTCTCCCGGTTTATGTTTTGTGCCCAGAATTACTGCATTCCTGGTGCAGAATCTGGTATTTGTTCTTGTTACCATTTCCTGTGGTTGATAATTGCCCGGTGCTTCAGTCTATCTAGAGCCCTCTGCAAGGCCTCTTGTCCCTTAAGAGAGTCAGCAGCACCTCCCATTCAACTCATGCATCCAGATCATTAACAAAAATAATGAACGGCACTGGTCCTAGAATTAAGCACTGAGGAACACCGCTGGTGACTGCTCACCAGCCAGATTTAGCCCCCTTCACTCTACAGCCCTCTGAGCCCTGCTGTTCAGCCAGTTCCTCACCCAGCACACCCTGAACCTGCTTATCTCGCAGTTGGACAGCTTGTCCAGAAGGATGCTGTGAGGGACGGCATCGTACACGGCCTTTCTTTCTTTCACTAGGTGGATGGTCTTGTCATAGGAGATTAGATTAGTTAAACTAAAGACTTTGGCTCTGTGAACCCGTGTTTGACTGTGCCTGATGATTGCGTTATCATTTAAATGACTTTCAGTAGAACCTTCTGTGGTTTTCATAATTTCTCAGGGTGCTGCGGTTAGACTAACAGGTCTGTAGTTCCCTGGGCCTTCCCTTATGCCTTTCTTGTAGGTTGTAATAACATTGGCTAGCCTCTAGTCAGTGCTAACCTCCCCAGAGTCCAGAGACCTGTGGGAGGTGGTTGAGAGGTGTCCCGTAACATCCACGTCCTACAGGATGTTACAGATGGTGTTTCTACAGCTTTGTATATGGTGGGTACGCAGTATTTGTCAGAATGTGTAGTGAGCCTCTTAACAAAAATAGAACACCCATCTTAAAGCTCATCACAGGCTATTTCTTGTAGTATTTTTCCTTTTGAATTTTTTTTTAAACCAGGGAGCAGCATGTAAAATTTACAGCTAAAAGTATAGCTCTTTGACTTCTAGTGATTCATAGAAATGTGAGGTGTCTTACGGGTTGACTGGAAGAAATTTTCTTACAGTCTTCATGTGTGTCACAAGCTAAATTGAGTTATTTAAGCCTTGTGTGAAGTAATAAATCAAATAATAAAGCTGGTGCGTATCCATATTTATTTGGGACAGAGTTATAAGCTGCACTTTATTGCTTGTATGAACTTGTCTGCCTTTAGTGATCCTTGTCAACTACTAGTTTAGGGGGATGTGCTAATGAGAGGTCCTGTCTGTGTAGTTACTTATAAAATCTGCTGTCCTTGTCAAATTATTAAATATCCCTCAAAGAAGCACGGATTCCAAAGATAGGATTGTTTTAATAGTTTTTTGACAATTTTTTTTCATACAACCTCTATGATAAGAGAACTGTAACGAGATGATTACCTCAGTAATACTGTATATATAAAAAATTCCGTTTTGTTACTCTGATGTGACAGTCCTCTTTTTGTCACATGCTTGTGCTAAAGTATCACGAATACAATATGAAGATAGGTACAGGCCCACTGAAGCCAGGAAGGTGTTTAGTTCAGTTTTCCACTGTAGTGCTGAAATTTGTTGAATCGAAGGAAGGATCTCTCGAAGGGCGAGCCTTCTTTCTCTGCAGAGCAGCTGAAGCAGTAATGGAGTTCAAGAATCATCGGGTGAGTTGCTTCTTATTTTCCCCCTCTCCGTTTGGAGTTTGAGCTTTTGAGTCAAACAGGAGTGGGTAAGAGGAGTGTAGGAGGGGTCTCTACTACCTCTTTCAGTGAGGATTGCTGGTGAAGCAGAGCTGTCTGTATTCCGTTAGTGCCCTGTTACCCCGGTGATCTTGTCATTGTTACAAAATTCTGTTTTGACTATCTCGGTCAAGTTGTTTCTTAGCTGATTCGGAAGTTCTTGCCTTTCATCTGGTGTATTTGATTATATTTGTGTAGCATATAAGTTCTATAGGTGAAAAATTGGAGTGCGGCTGCCTGTTAACATTTAATAGCCCTAGTTGTTAGGTCGTGGAATGAGACTTATAGCCTGTGTTCCTGTTCTTAGCATTCTTGCCATGTAATTTCGTATGGTGTTAGCTTTTGTTCTTTGTGATAGGAAAAAAGGAGAATAGTGATTTAGAATTGCAGGGCGGTTTATACTTGTAAATAAGGTAGTGGAAAATCCGGTAAGTAGGTATTTCTGGATAGCCTCATGCCATCCAAAATATTTACATTTGATTCTGGGAGTTTAATAATGTAAAAGGCAACACAAAACTTGTGCTATAGGGTGGATTTCACAAATGCAAACTTTCCTGACTGCGGTATTTAATTCTGTGAATGCCAGTTAACCCCGTCAATATGGGCTGTGTGGAAGTGCCAGTGAAAGCGTATAAATATTCTTAAAAAATCCTGATGTGGGAGGGGCTTACGTTGGGTCATCAGTTACATTTTGGGATAAACAGTTTTCATATCTTCAATTTTTTATGGGGAAATGCAGCATTTGGGGGCAGTGATGTGTGTTGGGGGATAAATGATTTTCCTAGGTTAGTAAATGTTGCCAGTTTGATTCCCCTTCCGTTTGTAGTGTTTGACAGCTATTTAGATGTGATGTTCTCAGTGTTATCATTACTATACTTACCCTGATTTCTCTGACTAAAGCTGCTGTCTCCTTATCCATAGGGATTGTAGAAATCTTTTTTTTTTCTGTTCAGTGTCTGAAAAGAGCTGAAATGCCTTCTAATTGGTTTGGGTTTTTTTAAATCAGATCTTTGTGGAATTTGATGGCTGTAACTGGAAGCAACATGCCTGGGTGAAAGTCCATGCTGAAGAAGTTATCGTGTTACTGCTGGAAGGATCATTGGTTTGGGCACCTCGAAATGATCCAGTTGTGCTTCAGGGGACTCGAGTCTCACTAGCACAGTGGCCTGCATTGGTGAGTATTTGACCAAAAGCTCTCTTATCCTTAGAGGTTTGCATCAACTGTATTGTGAAACACGAGACTTAGATATCATACAGGGCACTGTTACGCAGGTACCAAAATTGCTTAGGGATGGATTTTTTTTAAATGGTAAATAGGAGAGGAATTACCTGGTAATTACAGCACCTTTGGAAAGTCATCTGAGAGGCAGTATGCATCCAGTTCCTACCACAGCAATTGTTATATCGCCAAGATGAGATTGTTTACCAGCAGGTCTCTAAAGAAATGTGGTACGTATCTGAAAAGATTATTTTTCCCTATTTTAGAACTTTAAGTGTGTTAGTTTTTTCTGAATTGTGAAAATAAACCTTTTGATCTTACTGAGGGCTCTCTAGAGCTCTGTATGTTAAAAGATTTTTGTATCATTTTAACAGGTGTCCCAGCATCAGTTTACATCACCTACACATTTTGCTCCTGTTTCTTGAAGTGGTTGTACGTATTGTTTACAGGATGCTTTACAGGCCATGACACTTGAGACTAAAGCCAGTATGTTTTAGGAAGCCTGTCTGAGTATACACATTGTATAAACATCCTGATGAGCGTCAAGAATGTTTCTTATGTCCTTCTTTCTTCTCTTAATGGCTTGTGAAGAAGAAAGATTATACATGAGTTTCCTATCCTTGTTTTCATGCTGTCTGACACATTATTTTGCCGGTCGTGTGTCTTTTCTCTTTCTTCAGTCCTTGGACTGCTTGGGTTCCTACTTTCTGATCTTAATACTGCATTTCGGGCATGGGCACGTTGCAGTGTTTTTTCCAGTCAAGGACCTTGTGCCTTGATAGGATTTGAATGTAGCATTTTAAATGGATACTTGGGCTTAAAGGAACGAGTTCAGCACTGCCTCTTTCTCTGAGGGTTTCTTTATTGTGGTTGTCTTAAGGCAGAAGAAAGCCAGGCCTCTACAGCAGAGTGTCTGTATATAGTGGATTTTCTGTAGGTGGAGTTACCCTTTCAGTGTATTTGCAACTTGTCTCCAGGAATGAACATCAGTTTAATTTCATTTGGGAAATTCTGTCTATACAGGACCAGTTTATTTCAGCTGATTCCCAAATACCTCAACACCTGAGTGAGTTGGGCGTGTTGCCACAGTCCACACACTGATGGTGTAATGAGTTGTGTCAGAACCTGTTAGAAGCAAATATGGGTCCGCTGACATCCTAGAGTATTTCTGCCATAGCTCAAGCTGGATCTGTAGACTTGCTGAAAAAACGTTTCCATCCGCTGTACTCTGGACAGCCGTGCGGGCACTCCGGCTTTCCCGAGGTGCTAGAGGCCTAGGGAAGTTCCCGTGTGGGAGTACACCAGAGCGCACATGTGTGGCGTGGAGCGTTCTGGGCAGCCAGCTCCTTAGTGTTACAAAGTGGATGGTATTTTTGGGGGTGCTTGTGTTTTTTTCATTTTGATTTGTTTTTTGGTTCTGGGGAGCTTTTTGAGTTATATCACTTATGAATGTGTGTTTGTCTTTCATTGTCTCTTCTAGTCCTGTTTACTTTTAGGAAATAGTTCTGTGTAAACTAAGAAAATAAATTGCGTCTTCATGCTGTCATGTACAGGAGAATGGAGTGTGAACAAACTTGATGAGAGCTATTAAAGGAAAAATGTCATGAATACTTGTGTGTTAAAATCATGTAAGTGTGAGCGTGAGACAGATAACATGTTTCAAAGACTCTAGTGGTTGGCAACTTCTTCCTCCATCAGCAGTTATGCTGTAAGGTTATTCTGCTTCTGCCAGGTGTTTTTAGTGATTGAATATTGATAGTACAGGTGTTAATGAACTTCATTTTTTCCCAAAAACACTAGCCAAAAAAAAAGTTATCATTTAATAATAAGCTTATGAATTCCTTCCACCTGACTTTTGTACAGGAGTAAAAATGGAGGATATACTCAAAATATGTAGAATAGTTTGAACCATTAACCAGAGTTTGATTTTTTTTTTTTTTAACCTGAGCATCAGATGATGATTATCTGTGAAAAAACAAATACCACAAAAGGTGTTTTCAGTTCTGCTTGAAGTTCTACTTAGTTCTGATAGGGGGCCAGTTAGCTCAGTGGTTTGAGCGCGGTGCTGGCAACAAGGACCAACACCGAGGTCGCGGGTTCGATTCCCGCTCGGTCCCCATGTGTTGCCTGGTCTAGTCGAGAGGTGGTGTCCCTGCCCAAAACAGGGAGGTTGGACTTGATGATCTCTAAGGTCCCTTCCAGCCCAGGCCATTCTATGGTTTTAATGAAGAGGTGGAACCAATTTTCTATAATTCCTTCTTGTGGCATGCCACACTTGCAAGAATTTTTGGCTTAGACGTAATGAATAAATAATATGCAATAAAACTCAGACACTGAGTGGTGCAAGTTGAGAAATGAAATTTTATTCTTTGTGATACTTAGTGAGCATGTGAAAACAAATATTGGCCTCTATGTGAGCTTAGTTATTTTTATAACCTTTGTTTCTTCTTGTTCATCACAGACCTTCACACCTCTAGTAGATAAACTGGGTTTAGGTTCTGTGGTCCCAGTGGAGTTTCTTCTGGACAGACATTTACGTTTCCTGTCTGATGCCAGTGGATTACGTTTGTTTCAGGTATTTGAACTGTGTTCAGCTAAAGTGCAAATTTAACTTTATGCTGTGTTTGTCAGATTTTTTTTATTTGATTTTTTTTTTTTTTTTTTACAGTTTCACTTACATATTTTGTCTTTCTCCTTCAACTGTCCTGTGATGTATTTGTATTTCATTTCCCTGCATTTCCAGGTGCTTACCCTAACCTCCATCTGCACTGGAAAAGTCCCAGGTTACTCTCTGTATTGGTTCATTGGTGAGCTAGCTGTCAAGCATCATTTTTGCATAGCTAGTTCGCTTTTTCTTACTGGCATGCTGAGCAATGTTTTTCTTATTTTACTTTTCTTCGTCTCTAAGTATGAGAGCAGTCCAAGAAGAGCTTTCCCTTAAAAACTAACTATTCAATTACCTTAAAAGACTGTGCTTTTATGTTAAAACTGTTTATTGTTGACAGATGGGAACAGAGAGTCAAAATCAGATTCTGCAGGAACAGCCTTCACTAAGAGAGTCTGTCAATGCATTGATCAGTGACCAGAAGCTTCAGGAGATATTTAGTAGAGGTGAGACTGTTTTTCTGCCCCAGAGTTACTATGCTGTGGAACAGTTAAGACTATTGCTGGGATTTGTGAAGGAGAATAGCAATGTTGTCTACTACTGTTTGATTTGGAAGGTCACTTTTCTGTTTTGTTTTGCAAGTTCTTTACGAAGAAGCATTATTTTCACAGATACAGGTAAGCAGTTGCTGAGATACAACCGGAATTACCTACTGGGAGTGACCCCTGAAGATGTAGTTAAAGTAGGACAACGTATTATTGATAACATCTATGTATTTACAGCTTCCCGTATTCTAAGTTTTAGTTCAGAATTTTTAAAGTTTTGGTCATGTTCTATGGTTCTGTTTTACAATTCTGGAAATTTAGAAGTGGAGTTACTCTGTAGTTGTTGATCTTTAAAAAAATTCTTTGGTTACATCAAATTCAAATTTTGGCATTTTGATAATACATGAATTGTGTAAGTTTAAAATATGGTGTGGCCATGGCTGCTCAGCAGAGAGTTAATACTTTAATTGTCGTTTGAATTGCCTACTATGGTTAAGCCTGATTGCAGGGCTTGTTGTCACACTGGGATCTTCTAGTTCAAGTGCTAAAATGATTTTTCTGTTCAGAGCTTGGGTTCATGGGCCAGGTTGCCACCCTAGAGCTAGGTCACTGTACTGCATTTGAAAGATGGTGTAATTCTTTATGGGGATTTGGTGCCTTTTAGTTAAATAAATGTTTATTGATAAAAATGCCATGAGGACAGTCCTTCTTACATGGGTAAGTAGCTTCAGAATTGTCCAGTTTGGAGCTTTCTTCTGAAGTGCCTAGTTCTGGTTATATCAGATGCAGGCTGTTGGATCATGTAGAGTTTGATGATCTAATAATAACAAAGTTGTTTAGATTTTTTTTTTTTTTTGTCTGGACTTGGGGTAGGAGGGAAGCCCTGCATGCTAATGTTATGGAGAGTGAGGGCAGGTTCAGAGGAAACCTGTCTGTAGATGATCCGTTACCTGTGTCAAAGAACTAAGACTGTTTTGTTTAGAGACATCGGGTATTTGTGCGATTATTGAATTTTCCACAGCTGCAAATGTGTATCGTTTTTATTCTGAACTGCATGCAGTTTGTACTGAGATTTGATGCATCTGGATTGAGTCAGAATGCTATGACTGTCCACTGGATTCATGCTTCATAATTATGGACCTGTAAGAAAACAAAAGAGTGTAGTTAGGAAGCAGCCCCTGTCTGGCTTGGTTTTGTCAAAGGAGTGAGTATATTTTTGGTGGGTTTTTTCACTTACAAACAGTATTAATTTTATCTTTAAAATAGCTTTGAGTTACAGCAGCAAGGGCTCATTGACTTTTTACAATAGAATGCTTGGCTTATGAAGGATTTGCAGCAGAAGACTTAGCAGTTTAATTTCTTTCCATCTGAAAAGTGATAGTTCAATCCCTAATTATATGCACAGAATTCTCTTGTATGACTGTTTAATATGACACAAAGCATGTCTGGAAAATCTAGTCAAAGTCCTCCTTTTCCAGGTCCTTACAGCGTCCAAGGCCAAAGAGTTAAGGTTTACCAACCCGAGGATGAAAATAGCTGGCTCTGTGGAGTTGTGAGCCGTCAAGACCCGATAACTCGTCTTATGGAGGTGTCGATGGCTGAGGTAAAAGTATGAAGCACTGCTTTGGCATTGCTGAAATATCATTCCCTGATATCTTGTGGAGGATGACAGCTTCACCAAAACTTGTACTTTTAGTTCTTTGTTATTTGCTTTAAAAGATGAGTAGTTATCCACTTCGCAATTTACTAATTTTTCCTGTTATAATGACTTTCTGCAATAAATGATGATACAGAGGCTGCTTTTTCTATATGAGCTGTAAGAATTTCTTTGGAAATGAATACTATACAAAAAAATACTCCAGGTGGCTTTCTGTATGGGAGAATGTGCTGATGTACAGAAATCTTACCTTCTGGATCCGTTGCGCTGTGATCTTCCTGTGCCTTCTCAGCTTCCGTCTTGACAGGTTATGCAAGTGATTTGAGATAAGTGTAGCATAGAAGGTGAAGTCTTAATATAAACAGAATGACATAGTTTAGCTTAGGCTGTTTACTCCTTCCCTGTTCCTATTGGTAAACCTAGGAGGTGTTGTAAACAGCACAGAAAATCTGTGCGTTGCTAGACTAATCTGGTTTGTATTATACGCTTCTGTGCAGTCTGGCAGATAGTTCAGTCTTACCAGCAGCCTACTCCTAATGGCTTCCTTCTTCAGGAGCAACTAGGAGCAGGTCTGTGGTGCTGTGTCTAAATTACTGTTGCAGCAGCATTCCTCTTGTTTCTTTGGGGTCCTGTCCTGTGTTCCATGCCCTCTGCCTCCATAGGCTTTTCCGTGTGCCATAAAATACACGTGTGAAATGAATGCGTTGAACATTCCCAGTGAATCCTGTGTCGCACTTGCTTACAGTAATCCTGTGCTCTGACTATGAGATCTATTGCTGGTGCACAGGAAAAAAAAGTATGTCATGTATGGTAAATATGGATAGTACTTTGGAAAGACATGGAAATTGTGGCATTGAAATTGTGGAGTATATGCTTTCAGCAGATACGTGCTAGGAAGCACCCAACTTACTGCATACCCACTGTGAAATAAAAAGGTAATCTCTAAGCACAGAGAGATTGGGTATTCACTGCTCCTTTTGGGGAGATGCTGATGAGGACAGTTAACATAAATCAATGCACTTTCCCACGGTATTTTTCTACATCCAGCATGTGAATTTGCAGAAGGCTAGAACAATACTAAATCAATTTTTAAAACTGTGCTTAATGCACTAGAACAAATATACAGGGAAACAGTGGTAGGAATCAAATGTGAAAATTCTTGAAATGAAGGAGCAAAAGGATGGAAGAGAAACCGGCAGTAGTATTACTAAGGAAGTGGGACAGAAAGAAGAGGCAAAGAGGAGAGGGGCTGGAGGGTAACCCTCTGTTTAAGTTCTCTTGTGTTGATATTATATACTCTGAACTAAAAATCTAACCTCCTCTTTTCTGTCTTCTACCTCCTCAATATCAATCTGCATGAAAATTAGAGTGGTGAAATTAAGTCGGTGGATCCTCGACTGGTTCATGTGGTAATGGATAACACTTCTCCAACTGAGGTACTACAGCATTTCGGGTCTTGTGTATACAGTGTGAAACTTCATAAAGATTTATATCTAAAGCATCTAAACCATGGAAACAACTGAAAACTGATGCTTTGTTTGCTGTGGGCTTTTGATAATGTTATTCGAAGAGGAAAATTTTCATTAATACTTTGAGAGATGGTCATGGCTTTCTTCAAACAGTTTTTTTTGTTCAGGCCTGTTATACTAAGTTCAGCCTGGATCTTGGGGGTGTTTGTCAGTAATCGTGGTGGTTGTGTTCCATTTCAAGGAGTAGTGCTCTGACAAAGAATGTATCTGTGCTCACTGCCTTTTTCTAATGGGATTACTCTGTGCTTCCTCACAGACCTTTTTAGGCATTTCTAAAAATTACCACCTGGGTTCTCTCAAGCAGGTGTGTATGCTTGTGGCATTTTATTGCTTCAGCTGAGAGGTTTCACGATAACATTTGAACCTGTGTTTTTACCCTAGGCTAAAGGGCAAGCTCTGTCTCCTGTAGTTAAACGTTGTAGACATTGGGTAGTGGACAGAAGGTGTGCCTTTCAGAAGAACTACGGGGATTAGACCTGGAGCAAAAAGCAGTGTGCAGATAGTTTTCATGCATTAGCAGGAACTATTTTGGAGTATGGCCATGTTGCAGGTTTCCCAGATTCTACCATGATGTGGTATGTGCTACAGCAAAGTAGCTCAGCTAAAAAAACTTGTGAAGATTATATTCTAATAAATTTATGCTTGTGCCCTGTGTTCACATGACACTTTTCCTTAGATATCTCTATTTGTGATTAAATGTTGCTCAGCTTAAGAAGAGTGTAGTATATTCTGTTCTAAGAGAACACTATTCTTCGAACACGTGTCCTGATTGTTCTGTCAGTGATTGCATGGTTTTGTCTGTTATAGGGAGGTGGCGTAAAAGCAGCTAAATCATCTAAAGGGAAAAAGAAGAAAGAAAGCCTGGAGGGAAAGGATGGGCGGAGGAGGAAAAATACTTCAGATTCTGGGTGTGATCCTGCGACAAAGAAACTAAAGGAGAAGGGTGAGGTGGATAGCAATGGTAGTGATGGAGGTGAGGCAAACAGAAGTCCTTGGAAAGGAGTCTCCAATAGCGATACAGGACTAGATCCAAGGGCAAAACAGTTGCCTTCATTCATTCCTCAGATTAATCGCAATATTCGCTTTGCCACTTACACCAAAGAGAATGGCCGAACACTGGTAGTCCAGGATGAGCCAGTTGGTGGTGACACACCATTGCCCTTCACTTCATTTTCCCCTGTGGCTGGACAAGCGTTACTAGTTGGAGCTGGATGTAAAGAGCCAGGAAAATCACTGGAACAGGTTGGTCAAGGCACGGTGACTTCTGCAACTGCAGTTACTACAACTGCTTTGACACCAACAACTGTGAGAATCTCTGATACCAGTTTGCCAGCTGTTAGTGGACAGGAGAAACTGAAAACAGGCCGATCGCAAGCCCAGGGAGAGGTGAGTAGCTCATGATGCAGCATATTCAAGATGTACATATGTACATATTTGCAACAGATGTTCTGCAGCAAATTCCTGTTGGAAAGTGTGTCCATGGAATTGAGAAAACGACTCTTTCTCTGAATCCCTCCCTTCCCAAAGGAAAACTTCTGTTCTTTGATCTAAGAAAGAACTCAAAAGAAAATGAAGATAATTGGTGGAGGGGTTGCAAGAGACAAGTTTTTAGCACTCTTATCTTTATTCAGCCTTAATCTGACAAATGCAGCCTTAAAGTCGCTTTAAGCACTGCACTTAATGTGATTTTGTTGTGTAATATCAAAGATAACCTACTTATTATCTCTTGCCTTTATATAAACAAATACGCCTGAGAATGCGCACTGAGTTGAACATTTAAGTTACTTTTAAAAGCCTCAAAACCAGAAAAACAATGAGAAAACAGTGAGACTACATTTAGAGGACCTTTTATAGAGGCCTGACTTGGCTGTTGCAGCTGTGGTATCTCTGTAGCAGAAAAATTGGCTAATTGCATCCTATATTATCTAGGGCTGAAAACAAAGAAATAATTAAAACGTTTGAGATGGGTACCTTTAGAATAAATTTTAATAAAGAGCTCAGTGCGGAAGCAGGTTGAACGTGTTTGTTATGTCTTTGTTTTCAAGGGAAAAAGTGGAAAAGTATAAGGGAAACCCTGTTATAAACAAAATAGAACACTTAAGTAATCAAATCCCAAAACTCCCTCAATAAGTAAAGCAAAAATTAAGAAACTCAGTGCAGTGTATTAAAAAAGTGAAGTAAACAGGAGATACCTTGGAGAGTCCCAGGCGATTGCCAGAAGGCTGGGTGGATTGCTTTCATTCCTGTCTTTTCTGTTAGCTAATGGAATGGGGGGGAAGGTAAGATTTACCTTGGGTTGAGGATTCCTGGATGGTAAGGTGTGAAGGGGAAATAGAATTCATAGAATCATTTAGGTTGGAAAAGACCTTTTAAGTTCATCAAGTCCAGCTGTTAACCCAGCATTAAGCCATGTCCCTGAGCACCTCATCTGCTCATCTTTTAAATACTTCAAGGGATGATGGCTCCACCACTTTCCTGGGCAGTTGTCAGGAGTGTTACGTAATTAAATTGTTATAATATAACCTGCTCTCTCTTCCTCCCCTGCCCACCCACCCCTCTCCCCCCAAAAAAGTTTGGAGTTGGGAGCAACTACAAATTCTGTATATGAACAGTCAAAATTGTATCTGTCATCAGTGATATTAAGAAACCTACACAATCCACCGCTCGTCCCTTCACCACGATCACAAGAACATTAATTGTGCAAAGGAACTTTGTTACCACTTCTCCTTCCTGTCCTGTCCCCAACTCCAAATCACTTGTTTCAAATGATTATTAATGATCTGGCTTCAGAATTTGCCAACAGAACACTAGTTCGTTTCAAATTATTTTCGTTGAGGGAGGGATTCTGACATGTGTCAGTAAGAGCTTTGTAGGTAGTTCACATGTGTTATTGCTTCAAACTATCCACTTGATAATGGTGTGATTTGGTCCTTGAGATTACTTGATTTGCATTCCTGTGCTTTTTGAAACTGTTAGAACTTGGTTTGTGAAAATTACTTTGTCTCTAAAAAGATGCATCTGAAATTCTGATATCTGGAAGAACTGTCACAGGGGCCGTAAGTATGTTACTAAAGTTATTGCAGCTGGAGGTTGATAATGAGGAACAAGCTAAACATGAGTTGGCAGTGTACTAGGTGTGCAGTGGCACTAGTGATCAATAGAATGTGTTGCACAGAGGCTGTGGTTGTATTTAACATAGCCTTGGAATAAAAGTTTATTAATCATGAGTATTCCTTGTGAGAAGACTTCTAATAGAAACTCAGAGAAAAGGAGTTTGATCTGTTCCAGAAGAACTGTGAGAATTGGAAAATCTGAGTAAGTATAGATTGAGAAGAGAGCAAGTGAATATTCCATGTCACAGTTACAAGTCTAGGAGAAAACTGCAAGTCAGAAATACTTCCAGCATTTGAAGATCATAAAGATTAAGCCCTTTGTGCTTAACTTCTACTGAGTAATTCCCTGGAAGGCTCCACATAGTAGACATCTGTCAGCAGATGTGGCTTACTGTGACCAGGTACAGTTTTTTCACTGACTGCTAGAGGGCCTTCTTTGTTTAATTAACTTTGCAAACAAAGTTAATTATTTCAAAGGTGCTGGTTAGGTAGGAGAAGCTTATCAAGATGATCCTGGGGGAGGGTGAAAAACAAGAGATTACTGAAAAGCAGTTTTAATTAAGGCTTCCTTCTTGATGATTTGAAGTAGAACCATCAGCAGTTTAAGTAATTTGCTTTTCTGTGAATTAGTTCACATTATTTTGTGCCTCACTTTTGTTGTAAAGTGTGAGAAGTGTTCATTTTCTCCATGTATCTTTTATATGTAATGTACACCATTAGCTCATCAGTTTCAATAGCTTGTAGGTAGGAAGAATTGGTCTAGCAGAATCTTTAAAGAATTTTCTTCCTTGTAAACAATTCTGCTGGAAGTTTCTATTACAGGTGGTTAAGTGCAATGCTAACGATACAGTTAGATGAAGCAAAGTATTGCTGATTCAAGCAAGAATCCTGTAATACGTTAATGCTTCTTAATTTTGTTTCAGAATTCCCGAAATTCACTTTTGGCTTCTTCTGGATTTGGAGTCTCTCTCCCAAGTGCTTCCCAGTCCTTGGTATTTGGGGGTGGGAGGAGCCAGTCAAATGGAGTGGTCACTCCAGAAAGCAAGCCTTCTGGATTTTCTTTTGGCTGTAGTGCTGGACAAGAGGCTCAGAAAGATTCTGATCTGTCCAAGAACTTGTTTTTTCAATGTATGTCCCAAAATCTACCTTCCAGTAACTACTTCACAGTCATTTCGGAGAGCTTGACTGAAGATGCCTCTAGTCGAGACTCATTCAAGCAGTGTACAGAGAGTGCAAGTGCTGGGATCTGTAAAGGTAAAATCCTTTCAACGGACCCTAAATCAGGAGCCCAGCCTGTCGGTTCTGTGGAGCGGAAGTTGCCTGTGGAATCTATGCCTACTCTGACTCCAGCCTTTTCACGAAGTCTGTTGAAAGCTCGTCCCCCAGATAGTCATGAAAATCTGTTTTTACAGCCCCCAAAGCTATCAAGAGAGGAGCCCTCAAACCCTTTCCTGGCATTTGCTGAGAAAGCAGAACTTAGTCCTTTCAGTGGCTTTGCATCTTCATCTCAGACAGGGGTTTCTACCCCCACTACACCTGTGGGTCATAAGGCTGCTTCTGGCTGGCCAGAATCACTCACCTCTGCAGACTCTTCGCTATCTAAGAAGAAAACTTTGTTTATAACAACTGACTCCTCCAAGATGATCTCCAGTACTGCTGGTTCAACAGTTGCTGCTGGTGTTCAGAGCCCTTCCTCTGTAGGGAATGGCCGCGCTAGCTCACCGACCAGCAACCTGACACAGCCTATTGAGATGCCCACGCTTTCCTCCAGCCCAACAGAAGAAAAACCAGCTGTTGGGCCTGGGCAGCAGGACAATCCTCTTCTGAAAACTTTCTCTAATGTGTTTGGCAGACATCCGCCTGGCTTTTTCTCTTCACAGGCAGATTTTCCACAGGAGAACAAAGCCCCTTTTGAAGCTGTGAAGAGGTTCTCTCTAGATGAGCGGAGCCTGATGTCCAAGCAGGACTCAGACTCCAGTACCAATAGTGACCTGTCAGATTTGAGTGACTCTGAAGACCAGTTGCAAGCCAAGGCTTGTATGAAGGGAATCCCGGACCACTTGATGGCAAAGCTAGGCCCCAACGCAGAGCGCAATGCTGAACTGCTGCTGGGGAAAGGAAAAGGGAAGCAAGCCCCAAAGGGCCGGCCTCGCACAGCTCCCCTAAAAGGTGATGGCTTGAATGCAGGGTGTCTTGGAAGCATGAGGAGGTGGGATACTGGGATATCTCTTACGTGATTAACTATGTGAACTAACCGCAGGTGTGAACTGCGTTTATGCTCAATAGGCAGCACACCCGATATTTACAAGGCAAAATTTTAAAGCTGCTTGTGCGTGGATTAGCATGTTCACTGTGAGAAATATTTAAGCATATATTTATCAGGACAAAAGTGTGGTAGGCTGCAGATGTGAACATTCTTACTGGATTTGCAGGAGTATGAGCATACAGATCTCTGAAAATATATTTACTGGGGCAAGTACCTTTTGGCTGTTGCAGTTGACTAACGGAGTTTTATCTCTACTTTGCTTCACCCAGTTGGCCAGTCTGTGCTGAAAGATATGAGTAAGGTGAGGAAGCTGAAGCAGTCAGGTGAGCCTTTTCTCCAGGATGGCTCTTGCATCAATGTAGCTCCACATCTGCACAAGTGCCGGGAGTGCCGTCTGGAGCGGTACCGCAAGTTTAAGGAGCAAGAGCAGGATGACTCAACTGTGGCATGTCGCTTCTTCCATTTCCGGAGGTGCTCAAATCCTTCCTTCCTTCATATGCAGTCTATGTGCAGAGCTTGGACTGTGTCCAAGCACAAAGTAACTATGTTTTACTTATTTAATGTGCTTAGGTACAATAGTGAAGATTTTAAGTGTCTTGCATTGCCGGCATCAGCTGACTGGAAACAGGGGCAGGAGGAGCTGCTCTTGGAAGATACAGTTATATGATACTAAGTGAGCCTCCAGGTCCAGCCTCAGGAGATCAAATTTGCACTATTGAGTAGAATTCTACTGCTGGGTAGCAGTTTGTGTGCAATAACTATTCTGTCCCTCTTTCATAAGGAGGGCAGAACAGAGACAAAATTTTAATTTGGGCAACAAGTAACAAAACATTGCCAAAATTACGCTAGTGTTTGACTAAGTTTTGTTGAGTACAAAACTGATTTTTAGGAGTAGAACACTAACTGTGTTTTCTTTGTGTATGTATCTTAGTCTTTTAACTTGTCATGCTTCTCTTCATCTTCCTTTACTGTCTGTTCTAGCAAGTGCTATGCATCTTTTTCCAGTAGGATGTTTTTTTCACTTTCTGGCACATAAAGGATGAAGTGAATTTTTAGTATATGCCACCCACCTGCTAAGGATTATAGCTGCTTCTCTTCCTGAATTTGTTAAAAATCAATCTAGCTTTAAGGTTAAAGACAAGATTGGTTTTGCTCAAAAATGACTGCCAGGAGATGTTCAGGGTTCTGTAACTTATGTTGTTACACCTTTTACCCCACAAAGGCTAGGAAGATCAACAGCTGCTGCTAAGACAGCTTGACTTGGCTCTGTGGAGAGCAGTAGCAAGAATAGTAGGTACAACAAGGATTTTTGTATGTCACATAATGTGAACTCTTAGAAGAGTTGCCAAGAGCTAGCGGCCCGTGCCGGAACGACTGGCTTCCCAAAAGCTGGGAAATAACATTCTCCTGAGTTAAAACAGAGAATGAGAAGCATGCAGAGTTTTACAAGCAGCATCATGCAGCAGTCCAAATAAACCAAATTTTATCATGTCGTTCTATTAATAGCATAGAGAAATGTGACTTACCAAGCTGTAGCAATCCCATGTATGTGGAATTTCCCACCAATACTTACTGGGACCAGGAGATTGATTCTAGTGGGTTTTGAAGCCATTGCCTTTGTGTACCTTTAGTCTCTTGTGTTGTCTGGATTCACATAAAAATTGTACGGACTGTAGAGTGTAGCACTCTAGCTCAAGCGTTTTTTTCTCCTTTCTGGGTTTCTATTCTGACATAGATGGTATTAAAAGTTAATTAAAGGTGGTTGAGCACTTTCTCAATTACTCCACCCTGTCTTCTGCAGGCTGATATTTACCCGGAAAGGTATTCTACGAGTAGAGGGTTTCTTGAACCCACAGCAGAGTGACCCTGACGCCATGAGCCTATGGATTCCTTCCCCCTCCCCAGCAGAAGGGATTGATCTGGAAACTTCCAAATATATCCTGGCAAATGTTGGGGACCAGTTCTGCCAGCTTGTTATGTCAGAGAAGGAGGCAATGATGATGGTGGAGCCACATCGTAAGCTTGACATTTTTGTGTCCGTCTTCTCTGTGTAATGTGTGTACAATGCAGCGGAATAGAGTTGAAAGTGTAATACAGTTTCAATATCTCAATGTAGTTAAAATGCTTCCTCTTTTCTTTTTTTCTTTCTTTTCCTAAAGAGAAGGCTATGTTAACTTCTTTGAGATGTGTGTAATTGTGAGACCAGTATTTGGGATTTTTCTTGTGGATCAGTGCAACATTGCTACTAGGGAAACTGACAGTAACTTTCCCAGACATCATTACATTATTTTTCAATAAATAAATGCCGCAATCAGCTGGTCCATGCTTCTAAGAAAATAGGAATAAGTCCAGAACACTTACCAAGCTCACCAGCTATGCTTTCTGGGGAAGGAGCAATACCTGTGTTCAGTCTGCAAAGACTCAGCTGAGCAACGAGTTGCCAGCGTTGCCACTAGAAAAGGGGAGTGGGTTTAGAAAAAAATTTCTAAAGCTGTCCAGTTTAGCCTATCACACGGATAGCTGTGACTACCTGATTTTTCCCTTTACCTTCTGGAATGTTTAAGGGCAGCCGTTTGGGCAGCAAATGTGTTACAATCTGAATTGCTGACAGGCGTCCGATTAGTAAAGCTGAATACATGTTCACTATAAAGTTCACATAATTTGTTCATAAAGCTAGGAGAAATTTTATAATTTTCCTGTAAGTTCCCTAAGTGGTCCTTGAAACTCAGTTACTACAGAGCTCTGTAAGGTGCTGTGTGCATTTTGGGGCTTGACCATACCTGCACTTAGAAATGGGGATTTTAATAGTGTCACAAGACTAGCATCTCGAAGAATGTGTCTCTGGATGTAAAAAGTATATGTTTCTATACTCTGCCTTCAAGTTATGTTTCTGTGAATTGTTTCTTTATCAATGTTGATGTGATATTCTCAGATTAGATGGGAAAACTGTAAAACGACAGAGCAATAATACCTAATATTCTTTCTCTTTATAGAGAAGGTGGCGTGGAAGCGAGCAGTACGTGGTGTGAGGGAAATGTGTGATGTATGTGAAACTACACTCTTCAATATTCACTGGGTTTGTCGCAAGTGTGGTTTTGGGGTCTGTCTGGACTGTTACAGGCTGAGGAAGAATCGTCCACGTAGTGGTGAGTACGTGATTGGTTTCTCCCAATGTAGTCTTTCAGTGGGCTGTCTTTCAGTGGGGATAGTTACTGGGAAGTTCATAAAGACACAGAATGGTTTGGGTTGGAAGGGACCTTAAAGCTCACTTAGTCCAACCCCCCTGCCATGAGCAGGGTCACCTTCCACCGGACCAGGTTGCTCCAAGCCCCATCCCGCCTGGCCTTGAGCACTTCTAGGGTTGGGATGTCCACACCCTCTCTGGGCCACCTGTTGCAGTGTCTCACCACGCTCACAGAAAAGAATTTCTCCCTAATATCTAATCTAAATCTTCCCTCTGTCCGTTTGAAACCGCTACCCCTTGTTGTATCATTACAGTCCCTGAAGAGTCCCTCCCCAGCTTTCCTGTAGCCCCTTCAGGTACTGGGCGCCTGCTGTAAAGCCTCCCTGGAGCCTTCTCTTCCCCAGGCTGAACAGCCACAACTCTCGGAGCCTGTCCACACCGGGAAGGTGGTCCAGCCCCCCCTCTCAGCATCTCTGTGGCCTCTTTTGGGCCCACTCCAGCAAGTCCATGACTTTCTGCAGTAGTGCAGGTGACGTCTGATGAGAGCAGAGTAGAGGGACAGAATCCTCTCCCTCGCCCTGCTGGCCACCCTACTCTGGATGCAGCCCAGGGTGCTGGCTTTCTAGGCTGTGAGCACACGTTGCTGGCTCACATTCGGTTTTTCATCCACCAACACCCCCAAGTCCTTCTCTGCAGGGCTGCCTTCACTGCCCTCAATGCAATTGTTGCTCAGCCTGTGTCTGTGCTTGGGCGATCGCCCAAACCCAGGTGCAGGATCTTGCACTTGGTCTTATTGAACTTCGTGAGGTTTGCACAGGCCCCCCTCTCCAGCCTCTCTAGGCCCCTGTGGATGGCATCCCTTCCCTCCAGCGTGCTGACCGCATTGCACAGCTTGGTGGTGTTGGCAGATGACAGTTTGCTGAAGTTGCAAAGGGTTTTGTGGGAGAGTTAGTGAATATCAGCTTGGGAGGCGGGAGCTTTAGCAATAGCTAAAACACAAGTGTGTTATCAGCATTGTTTGGTCACAAGTCTAAATCATAGCACCACATGAGCTGCTGTGGCGAAAATTAACTTCATCCCAGTCGGACCGAGTATAACAATGAAGCCTATGAAATCACTGCAGAATACACCAGAAGAGAACATAACAATCTTTAAGATGAGATTAGCCAGGACACAGTAGAAATAGTTGAAAGTAAGTAGAATCACAGTGTTTCACGTATCTGTTACTGTACATGGTTGGAAAAAGCTTTTGAGACTGAATATATCACTGACAATATGGTATAAACGTGGTTCAAGGGCAGGAAATAAATATGATAACCTTACCTGTGCCAGGTGAAAATGAAGAGATGTCCCGGGCATATGAGAAGGTTTTACTCACTGGTGTACAGAGGAGGGTCAGCATTGAAAAGATGGTTAATTTACAGTGTCAAGTTAAGCAGGGTGTGTATCTGTGTACGTGTGTGTGTGTATATATATATATATATGTTGCTTATTGTTGGTGAGTTCCTGAGAACAATATTGTAATTGTAGTTTGTTGGTCAAGTCTAAAATAGTGGAATGGGGCAAAATGTGGAACCAAGGCATTACTTAAATAACATTACTTGCCTCAAGAGACTTCTGAACTTTGTGTTGCAGAAACATCTATGGAGATAGCAGGTCTAAAGAACAATGAAATGAAGTCTTGTATAATCCTTCTTGTACTCTGCCCAACTGAAGAATTACGGATTTATCAGACTAGTTTTCAAACTATTAATTTGCAACTTGTTAGCTGTATTAAGTATACACGCTGACAAGAGAGCTGTTTCTTCTTCCTGGAACAGATCTGTAGATACTTTTTGTTGAAAAAGTTTGGGAGATGTTGACAAAAAGAGACAGAAATACTTAATAACTTAAGAAAGCATAATGAGAACTTGAGTGTGATACTTAAAAATTGAGGCTAGAAGCCAAGATCTTTAGGTAATTGAAAAATAACAATCTACTAGAGATGAAGAGAAAGTGACTGTGGTAGTTTTATAATCTGAAGAGGCAAAAAAAGTTGCTGTAGATCTTGTTTTAAGGGTCTGTATTTATAGTTTTTCTTTAAGATCACTAGGTTAATCCTCTGCCCCGTAGATACAGAAATATTCTGTATTACAAAGTGTTAGTGCCTTTTGTACAAAATTTCACTTGCTTTGTGTCTTTATCCCAGAGACAGAGGAGATTGGTGATGAGGAGGTCTTCTCATGGCTGAAGTGTGCAAAGGGTCAGTCTCATGAACCAGAGAATCTTATGCCAACACAGATCATTCCTGGTACAGGTAATGCTTGAAACCTGAAAGGAAAACTTAAAAAAAATTGTCTCAATTCTGACAAGCAAGTGCAAAAAGTACTAAGGTGGTTAGTTTTTCTAGCATGGATTTAGAGAATTCTACTTGCTACAGTGGAAGGGAAGGTAACTGAAGTAAGATCAAACCACGGCTTTGAAATAAACACCCTTATGACACTAGCTGTGACTTCTGCTCAGCTGTTTTTAGTTGTATCAGTAAATTTAGTTAACTTGCTAGGTAGATCTTTTTCTGTTGAAGGGATGGAAGGTAAATGATCAGTGCTCCCTGTTTCTAGAGCTAGTCATCAAAATCATAGAATCATAGGATGGTTTGGCTTGGAAGGGACCTTTAAAGACCATCTAGTCCAACCCCCCTGCCATGAGCAGGGACATCTTCCACCAGATCCGGTTGCTCAAAGCCTTGTCCAGCCTGGCCTTGAACGCTTCCAGGGCTGGGATATCCACAGCTTTTTTGGGGCAGCCTGTACCAGTGTCTCACCACTGTCACTTTAAAAAAATTCTTCATTGTGTCTGCTCTAAACTTACCCTCTTGCAGTTTAAAATCATCGCCTCTTGTCCTGTCACTATGTGCCCTGGTGAAAAGTGTCTCTCTGCCTTTCTTATGATTCCTCTTTACACATTGAAAGGCCACAGTAAGGTCTCCCTGGAGCCTTCCCTTCCCCAGGCCAAACTATGCCACCTGTCTCAGCCTTTCGTCATAGGAGAGATGTTCAGCCCTCTCATCATGTTTGTGGATCTCCTCTGGACCTGCTCTAACAGGTCCATGTCTGTCCTGTGCTGGGTGCAGGACTCCCAGTAGGGTTAAGGGGAAGAATCACCACTCTCAACCTGCTGCCACGCTTCTTTTCATGTAGCCCAGGACATGATACGGCTTTCTGAGCTGCAAGTGCACATTGCCAGGTCATGTTGAATTTTTCATCTACCAATACTGTGAAGTGCTTTTCTGCAGAGCTGCTCTCAATCCATTCCCCAGTCTTTGTTGATTCCGGGAATTTTCCCAACCCTTACTGGGGACCTGGCCTTGTTAACTTCACAAGGTTCACGTGGGCCCACTCCTTAGGCCTGTCAGGGTGCCTCTGGATGGCATATCTTCCCTCTAGTGAATCAGCTGCACCACTCAGGTTGGTGTCATCTGCAAACTTGTTGAGGGTGCACTCAAAACAGGAAAACGGGGAGTCCTCCTTGGACACCGTCCATTATAGCAAGAGGGCTTAACTCCCTTGATCCCTCAGCTTTATACTGAATAAAATGTGCGTGGAATGGAATTCTGTTGTTCGTCACTTGTCTGTCAGTTCCTCCCCAGAGGTGCAACTTTTTATTTCCTTGTGACCCTTTTACTTTCAGGTACCCCAACAATGACACACAAGATTTAGCAGTGAGCTTGGTTACTATAGGAACAAGCATAAGCAAAAGTCTTTCTATATACCAATCCTTGGTAGTAACTGTAAATAAATGTTACCAATTCTAGTAGCAGACACTGTATGCAAAAATTGTGCTATTAACTTCAGAAAACACAATCTCTTAGAAGAAGCTTATCGGAAAAGTAAAATCACTGAACAGAATTGGTTCTGTTTAGCTCAAACCAGGACACTGTTAAACCCACATAGAATCATAGAATCATAAAGATTGGAAAGGACCTTTAAGATCATCAGGTCCAACCTACAGCCCTACACCACCCTAACACTAAACCATCTCCTGAAGTGCCACATCCAGCCGTTTTCTAAACGTGTCCAGGGATGGTGACTCCACCACCTCCCTCAGCAACCCATTCCAATGCTTCACCACCCTTTTGGTGAAATTTTTCCCAATATCCAATCTAAATTTCCCCTGGCGCAACTGGAACCCGTTCCCCCTTGTCCTATTGCTATTCACTAGGGAGAAGAGGCCAACACCCGTCTCACTCCAGCTGCCTTTCAAGTAGTTGTGGAGAGCAATAAAGTCTCCCCTCAGCCTCCTCTTCTCCAGGCTGAACAGCCCCAGCTCCCTGAGCCTCCCTTCGTAGGACTTACCCTCTAGTCCCCTAATCATTCTGGTTGCCCTTCTTTGTACCTTCTCCAGCACCTCCATGTCCTTCCTGTACTGTGGAGCCCAGAACTGCACACGGGACTCGAGGTGCGGCCTCACCAGTGCTGAGTACAGAGAGGCAATCACTGCCCTGGTCCTACTGGACACACTATTCCCAATGCAAGCCAGGATGCCACTGGCCTTCTTGGCCACCTGGGTACACTGCTGGTTCATTTTCAGCCGGCTATCAACACCCCCAGGTCCCTCTCTGCCTATAGCTTGCTGTGCTGCGTTTCCAGCAGATGTCAAGGAAGTTGAATTTCACCATGAGGACTAGAGCCTGTGAGCATGATGCTTCCTGTAGTTAAAGGCTTTGTCAATTTTGTCACTTTGTCAGCACGCTCCCCTTGGTCAGGCAGCCTGTAGTAAACACCAACAGCGAGGTGGTTTGGCCCCCAATTTTTACCTACAAGCTGTCAACCTGTTCATCACTTTTTCAAAGATAACTCTGTGCAGTTGTTCCATTCTTTTGCATAGAGAGAAACCCCACCACAGTGTTCCAGTTCTCCAATTTGTCCCATCACATGCAGTGACAGGGATTATATTATATCTTGCTAATTGCACAGGGATTTCCATCTCCTCCTGCCTGTTACCCATGCTACATGCATTAGTATATAGAGGCACTTCATCGGGGCTGTCAACCTTGTCACTTCTTGAGAGGAACGTCCCTGAATTCTTCTGAGGCGTTTCATGGGTGTTTCCCTCTGGTTCCTAATACATCAGCAGCCCCTGGCTCTTCTCTGTTTTTCAAATTTCTGTCCCCTTCTCCCACTAAATCTAGTTTAAAGCTCTCTGTGTACATGGCCAACTTGTTGGCAGAGACTGTCTTGCCCTGCGTAGGTGAGTGAGTCCCATCAGCTCCCAGGAGACTTGGCTTCTCAAAGTAGATTCATGATCCTAGAAGCCAAAGCCTTGAGTATGGCACTGGCCGTGCAGCCAGACATTCACCTTCTCAGTTTGTTACCTCCTTCCTCTTACTGGGAGGATACAGGAGAACGGAACGCCACCTGTGGTCTAGATCCTTTTAACGTTGCTTCAGGGTATATATAGTCTCTTCGATTGTTCAGAGTTACCTCACTGCAGTATTATTGGGCCCTATGTGGAATCGTATGAGCAGACTGTAATCTGTAGGATTTGCCAGGCCTGACAGCCTCTCAGTAACATCACAAAGCTGGTATTAGCAGAGTTCACCACACTGTTCAGAGACAAGTGTCTCATTATAGCACGCGATCTTAAAAGATACTTAGCAGTAATACTATAAAAACCTCACCCCTCTGAATATATACTATAGTAAAGGCCTCGTTTTTAGATTTCTTTACATGTAATATTAAAGACTTTAACTTTATTTCCAGCGCTTTACAATATTGGAGACATGGTTCATGCAGCACGAGGCAAATGGGGTATTAAAGCCAATTGTCCTTGTATTAACCGACAGAACAAATCGGTGTTGAGACCGGCTGTCACTAATGGAATATCACAGGTGTGTAATTTGAGGCTGGAATTAGCTTGTTTGACATTTTTAAAATGTTTGATTCTCTAGACTAATTTATTGTGAAACACAAACTTTATTTTCTCCGTATATATTCCGAGTGTTTTAGCTGAGCAAAAATCTTCTGGGATGCTTTTTTGGGATGTGTGCTGCAGCTGATACTTACCAAGTGGATATCTGGACTAATGCTCTTTTTTAGAAGTTGGGTGGGAGATCGTTGATATTGATGCAGTACGTTGAAACAAACCACTATGAGTAGCTTGCAACAGGTGCATTTGCTTTGTTATTGTTCCTGAATGCTATCATGGATCTAGAGCCATTCTGTTACTGTCAACATTAAAAGTCCTTCTGTAAAAAAGGAAGTTGAAAAGCTTGGGTTGGTGTTGAAAGGTGATGTGGTAAGAATTCACACCACAATGCAAGGTCTAATGTACGTGTAGAGGAGGCACCTGTACTCTGCTGCTGCATAAGCATGAAGGAACTCTGCTGTGCACTTAAAGCAAATGAACAGATGAAAACCAACCAAGCTGAATGTGCTGGATAGCCAGAATGTCTCCCAAGATGAACTATTCCCTTTATCCAACATTTAGCAGTTGTTCATATTTTTGTTTTAGCTTCCAGCTGTAAATCCTAGTGCATCAATCTCTGGAAGTGAGAGCACCTTTTCCACTGGAGCAGGGACAGCAGGAGTAGGGCAACTAGAAATGGACACTGTTCCAAAATCTGAAGCAAGTGATAGTAGGATAGAAGAATCTGCAAAAACAGAGACATTACCAACCAATAACACTGGTGAAATAAAGACTACCAGACCGCTTTGTCCAGAAACAACTCCGTCATCAGCCTTACACTGGCTTGCGGATTTAGCAACGCAGAAAGCAAAAGAAGAAACAAAAGGTGAGCACAAGACATGCCCTCTGGGGTTGGAATCAAAAGATGAATGATAATGTACTGCCTGGTTACAGTTGTTTGTGAGAGTGCCTAGCCCTAAATAGAAAAGCATGTGGTCGTTTTTCTTCCTTTGCCTCTTAAAACCAGTTTTCTTTTACAGGCTTAGGAATATGCAGAGCTGGGAAGATGATGATACAGCTGAAGATAAACATAGTGTCTTGGCACTCCCAGTTTATTTCAGTGCCAGTTCTTGTATTTATTTTCTAAGTTATAAGTAGCTGGTATCCTCATGTAAAATGATAGCAGTTCATTTCAGATGCAGCTTTGTCATTTTATATAAAGCGGTTGTGTGCGCTGTGTGAAGAGTGTATTTCCAAAAAGTTGAGAGACTAGAGTCCACTCGGGTCAGATGAAAGCTTAAAACTTCTTTAATACTCAATAGCTTGAGTGCGATTCTCAGTATGAAGTAGCTGTTTACAGAACACACCTCCCAGTTGTCAGAGGTAGCGTGATTAACCTAGGAATTTTTCCTGTCCATGTGTGTAGCTACAGCTACTTTGTATATCAGTGTTACATGTTCATGACTTCGCTAGTTTAGCAGTGCTTAGCTACTGTAATATTGTGACTACAGTTAAAATTTGAAATATTTCCTATTGAAACATTAATTGAGAAAGCCACGGAAATGTTTGGGGTTCGGATTTTTTTGAGTCAGTTACAAGGTTGTAGTTTCTTGGGTATCAAACACTTTCAGATTGGATCTACTGTTCTACTGAAAAATCTTAACAGCATATGAAGGGTAAAAATCTGTCTGAAGTATATAATGTTTTTGATTCTCTTTGAAATGCTTTATTTGCTGTTGCAGTGATAATTTACCAAAAGACTTTCTCAGCATTTTCTTTAATGCAAGAGCAAATAATTTCGGAGAACTTTGTGATCATTTGAACTTTTGCCTTTTTTCTTCTTCCCTCCCCCTAATGTTGGTATTTATCTTGCAGAATCGGGATCACTGAGGTCAGTGCTTAATAAAGAATCCCATTCGCCCTTTGGATTGGATTCCTTCAACTCCAGTGCAAAGGTTTCCCCACTAGCCCCAAAGTTGTTTAATAGCCTCCTCTTGGGCCCAGTGACATCTAGCAACAAAGCTGAAGGCTCCAGCCTCAGAGATCTACTGCACACAGGGCCAGGAAAGCTTCCTCAGGTCCCGTTAGACACAGGAATCCCCTTTCCTCCGGTCTTTTCTGCAGCTTCTGCGGTAAATAATTTCTGTTCCTTCACTGATACCTGTTTTAGGGAAGAATTTGTGATGGTCTAATGGTTTTCATCTAAATGTTTTTATAGTATCTTATTCTTAAATGTTGAAACAAATGCAATATCTCAACAAAACTCACCATGCCATAAAATTGTAGAGAATTTTGATGCTAATTGTTAGTTTGTGGTTTGGTTTACTACTACTGTGGAGAAGCTGTTTCTTGCAAGAGATCAAGAAAGGGAGTTAAATATAGCCATTAAATTGTTTAATTGATAATCAGCATCCCTACAGAAGCTTACTTAAAATTCCATATCTTTAAAAATACTGCAGGAGCATACCACAGTAAAAGACAAAAACCTGTGAGCAAACGAGTTCCTTAAAATAACATGTATATTTGAAACGTATTTAAGATAGTGTATGAATTTAAGGTGTAGTTGCTATTTCTGGATGCCTATTCTAGAGTAAGGATACTTTGGTTGGGTTTTTTAGTCTCATTTGGAGGAAATAAACACACACAAAAAAAGCCAACCCTGAACAAATGAGTGATACATGAAATCACAGAGTCACAGAATGGTAGGAATTGGAAGGGACCTCTGAAGATCATCTAGTCCAACTTCCCTACCAGAGCAGGATCACCTAGTTTAAGTGAAAGATAGATTCTATGGAATTTATTAAGGCTTAACTCTTCTTGGATAATATTTTCTCCAGAAGCTTAGGCAGATAGCATAAGGAAGATGATGAACTGGCTTGTCTAATATCAGGTGGGTTTTTTTTCTTCCCACTATGTCAGGCTGGAAGGTTAGAACAATAATAATAGTTCATGTTGTTTGGTTTTGGTAGTGGTAATTGTATGGCTGTACGATAAAAAATGTTGTTGCTACAGGGAAGTGAATCTAATAATAGTTCCACCTCCTGCTCTCTCTCATCACAGGCAAAGAAATTTTGATCACACGTTTTAAAGCACGTTAATTCTTCAAGACTTCAGAGAACCTATCTCACCTTCTGTCCCTGTCCCTGCATCTCTATGCATTCTCTCACCACTTTGAGACAATTCCATTGTCTATTTTTTTCACTTTCTTGACTTCTGGTTTGCACAGAGTTATTTAGATTTGAAAGAACTGGTGGGGAACTCTTGTCCAACCCCCCACTTGAATGCCTACATGCTTCATGTGAAATGTATGTGAATAAAACATACCTGAGGAATAACACTTCTGTTGGTCAGATTGAGAGGAATAATACACTGCTGCTCATTAGGAGAATCATCTTGGTGCTTCTGCTGGAGCTTTAACATTCTTAAGAGTAGTTAGCATTGGCTCTGATAAACTGCATATTAGCTACTTTGTGGCCTCGAGAGAGTCAGCATAAAGGTACCTTATTTTTAAGACTATCTTAAGCAGATGATGTTATGATCTAGTCTTACTTGAATAAGACAGGCTGTAGAAAACTATATCCTGATAATAAATCCTAAGCAGCAGTGTGGGCTGGGGTCTGACTACCAGGGATGTCGCCCTTCTGAGTAGAGCTCAGGGTCCTGGAGGGCAGCGAGCTGGGCGTCAGTCAGCATTGTGCCCGTGCAGCAAAGGCGCACTGCCCTGGGCTGCATCAGGAAGCGTATGGCTGGGCACACTAAGGAATGTGATTATTCTACTCAGCGTTCATTAGGCACCGCCTGTAACACCGTTTCGAGTTTTGGTCTCCCCAGTTGAAGAATGACACTGAAAAATTGGAGGAGGTCCAATGGAGGGCCATAAGGAATGATTAAGTCATTGGAGGGCTTGGCACACGAGGAAGGGTTGAAGAAACTGCTTCTCTTCATCCTAGAGAAGAGAATACTTTGGACATCTAAACAGTCTTACCATATCTAAAAAGTAGTTGTACCTCCACATTCTCTACTCCTTTCACAGTGATGCATGGTAACAAGGCAAGAGGCGATGGAGACAAGTTGCTTCAGGGGAGAGTCTATCTGGATATAAAAAAAAAATTCTCGCTTTGCATTAAGCAGTGGAATAGGCTGCCCAGAGAAGTAATGTAATCCCCTTCCCTGAGAAGTTAGGGTTTGGCTTCATCCAACCAAGGGTGACTTAATCTGATTTCAGCAGAAGGTTATACCAGATGGTCTCTATGTCTTTCTTCTGACCTGGACTCTTCTATAAAATTCCATGAATATTTTTTTTACTAAATTAATATCTTTGGTCATAAATAGTGTTATGTTTTAGATTGATAGCTCTGTAGTGAATTTTCTGTCCATTGAACTTTAATTTTAGAGAAGATGGTGAAATTATTCCAGTAATAGTGATTTGCTCTTACTGTTCACTCAGCTTCCTTTCTCTATTTGTTTTGTTTCGTTTTGTTTGGGGGGGTACATGTTGAGGGTATTAGGGCTTTGGGCTGGTTTTTTGGGTTTCGGTGTTGTGGGTTTTTTTTTCCTAGAATTAGAAGCTCTTTGCTAACAGAAAACTGTCATGCCTCTGCCTCTCCCATAGATGTTCTGTGAATAAGGATCCAGTTAGTGCTTATCTTATGTTGAGTATGTAAAATACTTCTAGTGGCTTGAGTATCTTGCTATAGTCCAGCCCTATAGGCAGACCTTTTTTTTGTTGGTTTTTTTTGAGATAAGAACAGAATTTAAGATTGTGTCAATTCCTTCTGGATTTTAAATGCCCTTTGAGGAGCATGGATGCCACAACCAGAGAGGGTATCTGCTGATTGTTCTGTTAGCATTATGCAGACAGGAACCACTTTCTCTCTGTCAGTGTTTATTTAATGCTCCTGTGTTCAGCAGCTTACCTGTGCCAGGATCGAATTCACTTTCCTAGTGACAGAATGAGAAAAATGGGGAAATAGAGTTGAGATATTAGTGAAGTTAAGAAAAATATAAACTGTTTTTACCATTAAAGTAACAGAGTTTAGATCAGTTAAGTTTTCTATTCCGTGATTGCTGGCTATGATGTTTTTTTTTCTGGATAGCCTGTAGCAGATTACTCTAAGTTTTACCATTATAAGGCAGGGACATTGCTGTTTCTGTTCTTACTGGATACATGCCTGTTTCTGAGCTGATTTGTTTATTGTTGCATGTTTTTCTGATAGCAAAATGTTCATGAATAAAAACTGAATGGGAGTGGGTACGCATTAATGTGTATGCTGTTACAAGACTAAACTCTGGATTTGAATCTTCTAGGGGGCCAAAGGTAAAGCCAGTCTGCCCAACTTCTTAGACCATATAATTGCTTCTGTGGTGGAAAATAAGAAGACATCTGATGCTGCAAAACGAGCTAGTAATTTAGCTGACACCCAGAGAGAGGTGAAGGAAATGGTAATGGGCTTAAATGTGCTGGATCCACACACTTCGCACTCTTGGTTGTGTGATGGTAGACTGCTTTGCCTTCATGATCCTAGCAACAAAAACAACTGGAAGATCTTCAGGGAGTGTTGGAAACAAGGCCAGGTGGGTGCTGACAAATAGCCAATTCTTACTGCTTGTAAGGTGTCCTGAAATTGGGTCCTGTACCTTTGTTATTGACAAGTCCATTCAGACTCCAGACAGTTGCTCCTGAGCGTGAATGATGAATGAAGACTTCAGCTGTAACACTGTAAATGGGGGACGCAGCGGACCTGTCCGCTCTGTGGTGTACTGACTCCAGCCCATGCTTTCTTGCACATTGAGATTTTCTCAGCATATCAGGATGAGGGTATTTGCTGTGACAGCCTTTTTAGTTGTGGCGTGGTTTGTGTTGAACCTGCTCTACTACAGCCCAGTGGTGGATCTGCTGTTTTCCTGCATGTGTCCTGGCATCTACCCCATACTTGATGCTGTGTAGCCTCGGGTATAGTGTCGGGGAAAGGTCCGTTCCTTTAAGCTGCAGCATGTACAAGAATAAAAGTGCTGCATGCAGTAATTTCTGCTGAAATTTTGGATATACTTGATGCAGTGTCATCCTGAGCCTAGACCTTCTGTCGACCCAAGTATTGTTTTGAGCTCAGTGTTTCGTGTATTGAGCATTCGCCTGGATTGTCTGAGGGGTCATCAACCAGTTAGGCCTTCGCTCAAGAGACTGGCCCTTTGACCTGCCACCAGCATAGATCTCGTAGATCTCAACCCGTAGTGCTAGAGCTTGAGACTTCACTGCGGAGTCATTAAGATTGATCTGGTCAGACAAGCTGAATCTTAAAAAATGGGTGAGTAGCTCCCGCTATAGCAGAGGAACTGCACCCACAGTTCTAGCCAAGTGTAATGTCCGTCAGCGTTCAGACTGTTCTTGGCACTTGGTTCTGCAGCTACCCCTGACGTGGTTACCTTCACTGATCACTCAGAATTGAGACCACTGGTGCCAGGCAGTTGTATCCCTCAACATCTCTTCTGTAGAAGTCCTTGTTGTCACCTCTTCCGTTGTTACTGGGCTAAGCCTCTTAGCAGTCATGTTCTGTAACTTACGGTTGCTCACAAGACACGTGGACTGCTGAGCTGTGATGAGGGAACAGATCAGGCTGTATTCCTCTTTTGGCACTCAGTCCCTCTGTGCTAGAAGTAGAGTACCTCTCAGTGAAGTTTAGCATGTCTCCTAGGACTGCACGTTCTCTGAATCCCCTAGGCACAAGCAAAACTAACATGTAGCCATGAGAACCGTGGAGAGGACTGTGGCACCACCAACCAGAGTTACCAGTTCCTGTTTCTGACTCCCCTAGCTGGCTCTTAATAGGTGGAAGAGCCCGCTGTGCAGCACACCCTTGCTTGTTTGACTAGGAACTTAGCTTGCTGCTGGTGTTGCCAGCTTTTCCTCCTAAAGTTACTCTTTTGTCCTGATTTGTTTGAAGTGCATAGGGGCCTCTTTGGTTTTTTGGGGTGTTTTTTGTTTGTTTTTTTTTTAAACTTGAGGCATCTTTCTGATTTATGAAGGATTTCAGATCACTGTTTGGCAGTGCTGTGATGTCAGTCATCTGCCTGACTCGGCAAAGAGCTCCTTAGTTTCTGGTCAGTATACTTTGATAATTTTCTCAACCTTCACTGTCAGCAAATGATACTGTTTCTCTGAGGAGAGTCTAAATATTTTAGGAATACTTAAAAAGGTGTACTTGCCAGTTTTCTTTAAATGAGACTGATTGATCAGCGGGTGCAAGATCCTGCACGTGGCCATGGGGTTCTTGACTGTTAATGAATCTTGAGAGACTCCTAATGCAGTCTAGGGACATGGTTACCGGTCTTGTGTCAGATGTGTAGCTGGCAGTGTGCAGTGCCTTCCAAGCTGCTGCATGCTCCGAGGCTCTGGCTACAGCCGTCACGCTCACGTACTATTTGTGACCCTCTATTTTAGGCATCACCCCAAGATGCACTATTGATGCTTTTTGTTGACTTTAATGTTCAGAGCATCCCTTCTGTAGCAACAGACTAGCCAAGTTCCTTTTTTATTCTAGGATTCTCCAGCAACGTTGCACTCACTTGAGTTTCCTCCTGAAAAGTGGAGAGCAATCTAGTGGAAATTCCTGCACAAGAGAGAGCAGATGACCCAGGCAGGTGTTGCTATTCTGACAAGGCTTTTCAAAACAGAATTTCTTCAAGCAGAGATTCTCTCAACAAACTCTGCTCTGTCACAGTTCTGTCTTGGCTGGCATCCTCCTGTATATTCCAGCTGCACCTTTAAAAGTGAAGTCAAAGAACATTAATTCCACTGCCATCTCCTGAATCATCTTCCCCTTCCCATTTTGTGGGCTGGAAAGGGTTAGCTGGACAAAACCTCTTATCCACCGTCTCCAGCATAATAAATGCACACTGGACACCAGGTCTAAGCCATCTCAATATCTTAGCCATGGTAGCGTCCCAGATCATTAAAAGAATCACAGAATTGTTGAGGCTGGAAAAGACCTCTGAGATCATCAAGTCCAGCCATGACCCAGCACCACCACGTGGGCCAGACCAGGGCACTAAGCGCTGCATCCAGCCTCTCCTTAAACCCCTCCAGGGACGGGGACTCCAGCCCTTCCCTGGGCAGTGCATCCCAGTGCCTGAGCACCCTCTCTGTGAGGAAGAGAGATCCTGAGATCCAACCTGAACCTCCCCTGACG